TGGATGGATGGATGGATGGATGGATGGATGGATGGATGGATGAATGGATGGATGGATGGATGGATTGATGGATGGATTGATGGATGGATGGATTGATGGTTGGATGGATTGATGGATGGATGGATGGATGGATGGATGGATGGATGGATGGATGGATGGATGGATGGATGGATGGATGGATGGATGGATGGATGGATGGTTTGATGGATGGATGGATGGATGGATGGATGGATGGATGGATGGATGGATGGATGGATGGATGGATGGATGGATGGATGGATGGATGGATGGATGGTTAGATGGATGGATGGATGGATGGATGGATGGATGGATGGATGGATGATGGTTGGCATGGAATGGATGCGAAATGGACTGGGATGGAGATGGTATGGCATGGATGGATTAGATTGGATGGATTGGATGGGGATGGCATGGATGGCAGGATGGATGGTGGGATGGGGATGGATGGATGGGACGATGGCATGGGATCCGCGATGCGATGGATGGATGGGCGGTGGATGGAATGGGGGACTGGACTGGATGGATTGGCGATGGGATGGGATGGATGGAATGGATGGGATGGCAATGGGACTGGCATGGCATGGATGGATTGGATGGGGATGGGATGGATGGTGGGATGGATGGGACTGGGATGGATGGATGGGATGGGGGGATGGATGGGATGGGATTGGATGCGATAGATGGATGGATGGGATGGATGGATTGGAATGGGAGGATGGAATGGATGGCAGGATGGATGACTGGTGGATAGGATGGGATGGATGGACTGGATGGGTGGCATGGGTGGATGGAGGGAATGCGATGATTGGGCATCGTGGATGGATGGCATTGGGGAATGTGGGCATGAAATGGATGGGGAACTGGCATGGATGGATGGATGGATGGCTGGATGACTGGATGGATGGATGGATGTTAACTTCTAGAGTGCACCGTTCTTCCGCTATTGTTGCTAGAAGTATGATATTCAGACAGCATTTTTTTGTACAGCATATCTCAAAAACGTTTAATCCAATTTGGTTGATGTGTTGATTTGTATTTAGCTTATTGTTTTATCTTTAAAATGATGTTTCACTTGTTTCTCTACCTGCTATACTTCAAAAGTTATAAGCCATTTAGTCGATTATTCATTTGTGTCTCTATCTGCAATAGTTGACAAGATATGAGGCATTTACCCAAGGGATAAAATTTGAATGGATGGATGGATGGATGGATGGATGGATGGATGGATGGATGGATGGATGGATGGATGGATGGATGGATGGATGGATGGATGGATGGATGGAAGGATGGATGGATGA